GGGGTGGGGGGTCATTGATCAATAATATACTTGTTACAATATGGTGGAACTATGCGTGCAATCTTCTCAGTGGAGTGCCTCATCCATCGCTTAACGCGTGGCTAGCGCCATTTACCTCTAGGTCGATTTTAACTAACTCTATATCCTTTTCACCATACATTAGTCGTTTGATCTCATTTACCAAGTGGGTGTATTATCTGACAAATAAAGTTATTTACCCATCAAGAAAAAAATTGATGTATCACAAGGGGTCCGACCATTTCGCCATCACTAATTGAACCGCTTGAGCGCAGTCCATTTCCACGGTTAGCTTCACCCCCTTCTAGTATAACCCGAGAATCGCATCGGGGTAGACAGATCCATAGAAAGAAGGGGCGGAGGCGGACCAGAGGAAATCAAGAAGAAGTCGAGGAAGATCGTCGGAGCGGCCCACCACTTTTCTGATAGTTTTTTGAAAAATTAAAAAAAAAAGGTAGTTTCTTGCAATGATAAACCGTAATGTGGTAGTTTTTTGCTATTCACTCCGTTGAACTATGTTGCGCGGATTGTAGTCTTGATGTTTACTCGCAAAAAAAAGTAATCTTGATGTTCGAGTTATACAAATTTCTCATCGCAGGGAAAATAAAGTGAACAACATTCTGAACAGTGCCCGAGGCCTCCTTGGATCCTTGATCCGACGGCTGTCCGTCGCTAAGTCGCCCCTGACTTGGCCACCGCAAGTCAGAGAACCCGTGCCTTCCTTCCCCACGGCCACGAGCAGCCGTCGGCGTGAAATCCAAGCAGTCCCGAGAATCGCATCGGGGGATAGACAGATCCACAGAAGAAGAAGGGGGCAGGGGCAGGGGCGGAGCAGAGGAAATCAAGAAGATCGTCGGAGCGGCGATGGAGGGGTGGGACAAGGGCACGAAGAGCGTGGTGGGCGAGATCCCGCTGCTGTCGACGCGGGCGGGGCCCCGGGACGGCGACGCGTGGCGGCAGCGGCTCAAGGAGGAGTACCGCGCCCTCATCGCCTACACCTCCGTCAACAAGGCCAAGGACAACGACTGGTTCCGCATCTCCGCCGCCAACCCGGAGGGCACCCGCTGGGAGGGCACCTGCTGGTACGTCCACAACCTCCGCCGCTACGAGTTCCCCCTCCAGTTCGACATCCCCGTCGCCTACCCCCAGGTCGCCCCCGAGATCGAGCTCCCCACCCTCGACGGCAAGACCCACAAGGTCCGCGATCACGCTTCCTCTTTCCCGTGCCGTCTACGTCGCCGTGTGTTGTGTGGGTTCTTGGTTGTGGATTGTGATTGTTGGACATGGATGCAGATGTACCGCGGGGGGAAGATCTGCCTCACCGTGCACTTCAAGCCGCTCTGGGCCAAGAACTGCCCGCGGTTCGGGCTGGCGCACGCGCTGTGCCTCGGGCTCGCGCCGTGGCTCGCCGCGGAGGTGCCCATCCTGGTCGATTCGGGCATGGTGAAGCACAAGGACGATGAGGCCGCTCCTGCAGATGCCGCTGCTGCGTCTGGCTCTGCCGCTGCCTCTTAGCTGCAAGACAGTTACAGTGTGTCTTTTTTGTTGTTGCTGACAGTGACAGTTACAGTATGATGGTTGTTATCAAGGGGATTGGAGGATTGAAAATCCACTCGGCTGTGGACTAATAAGAGCCAGCAATACATATACTCTAGTTGTCATGTGGTGCTTTGCTGTTCCATATTTTGCTGATGAACTGGTTGCTGATTAGAACTGTAGTTAGTTTGTCTGGCTGATTTGGTGTGCATCGAAGTAGTAGATTTGCATTCAACATTGATTTTCATAACCAATTTTTTAACAAAGCAATTGCCTCCGCCCTGCTGGATTTCTTAGGTGGATGCTGTTAATTTAGGATGGAACCTGAAAGTTGTGTTTGGTGAACAGAACTGTGTTTTCTGTCTCGAAAAAGACAATAGAGCGTAAGCAAGATCAGGTGCACAATTGTCTTTTGAATGTTTTTGCCTTGCCTATATCATCCTAGGAATATTAAACGACTTGAAATAAAAATAGGACCAATTGTTCAATTGCTTGTTTATCTCCTCTGAGTTGTCAAGCTTCCGTGTCTATTTTGTTTTGCCAAGTCTCGATGTAGCACGACTACAGGCCTACCATTGTGTTTTTAACACACGGTATATTGAATATGTTTGCTAGAAACCTAAAACTGGTTAAACTGTTGCCTTTTATATTGGCTTGATCTTTTCATGATTGGAACGGTAGAATTGACTTACGGGTTGTTGTGTTAACTTCATCATTTGTTGGTGCTATACTTTATTTTGAGGGAAGAGAGGTTTTCATTGATTCATAAAAGGAGAGTTTACAGAGTCATCATCTACAAAATGACCAATCTCTGTCTGGACATGCCCCAACCTGAAATTGTTAACAGTGCTCACTCTAGCTAACTTAAACTCTAGTGCTCACTCTAGCTAACTTATCCTTGCTTACATTCAACAAAAGGATCAGCAGCCAGTCAGGACCAGTGTATTTAAAACAAGCTTCATCAGGAATGCTCCAGGTTTTCCCCATCTCCATTCTCAAGGTGGCATGAAAACTAGTTTCAGCTTCACAGCAACACACACTGCATATGTTGTCAATCTCCAACTTCCTTTTGAATTTATTGTTGTTTGTAGTAAGGTTATCACAAGGTACTATCCAACTGAATATGTTTACCTTATTTGGCACTGGGGCATTCCAAATAAGCTTCTCTTTGAGTAGCTCCAGACTATTCAATACCACACCAAATGGGAGAAGCTTGCGCTCTGAACATTGTATCAATGAGATTGCTCCTAAGGCAAAGCTAGCTAGAATTACAGGACAAGAAACGTTGTAGGTCCCTTATTAGAAGGTTGAGTTCTTTATTAACTGAACCTAATTTCTCTTTGCTCCAGCTTGGAGCACTGACATAGTTAAAAGCAAGTTTTCACCAACTCCTCCCAGGCACTTGACACAGCTACGCAACCTGAATTTCCTCTGAGGAGGACTCTTACCTCTCCAACGTGATTTTTGTTCTTGAAACTCTCCCATGTGATTTCATACCTTGTAAGTAAGTTTTAATACTGGGGTTCTTTTCCTATACTCTGTTTTGGCCAAATTCACCAGGATGGTGCTATGCTGCTATGAAGAGTAGCCGGGTTTGTAGAGGTTGCCAATAAGGTGATGTCAAATAAACTTGGAGTTCATCTATCATTACTTGTGAGATGTACCGTATAATTATCTCCTGGCATCTTACTATCAGACTCTGAAGCAGATGTACGCCTTGCCGCTCCATCCTCTCCTCTTTAGGGTTTTGTAGATTGTTTTGCACTTAGTTCTCTGTTTTTGGGCTGTTCTTGTTGTTTGTTTCGCACTTGGTTCTCTGTTTTTGGCTGTACTTCTTTAGTGCTTCATTGGCTTTTGTTTCCATGCTTGTGTGGTTTCGGGTATGCGTGTGAGTGTGTGTGGTGCTGGTGTACCGTGTAGCACGGTGGTTGGGTTCGCTGCTGTGTGTTACCAGAGTATAAGTCATGAGGGACTAGTAACCTTTGCACGCGCAAAAATGTGCATCCTGACTGATGTAAATTCTATAGATGTATATCACAGACCTAATCAAATCTTTGATAGTCTTTTGCTCTTGAATGGTGATCCAGCATATCATCCTGAAGAACAGTTCAAATCATATTACATAAAAATATGCTAATAAAACTTGGTACAAAACCATTAAGACAGCCATCTTCAAAGTACTGGGTAAAAGTATGAATGCACGGAACCGACGTAACCATCTTCAAAGTTGCATGTAGAATACTCTGAATCTTCAAAACTGCATCCAGTAGTCTTGATGTAACATTGCTGGCTGCTCATAAAAAGCAGGCATGGAGGGAGTATAAGAATTGCACTGTATAATAGCAAGAAGACCCGTTTTACATTTTACTCGCAGTTGTTTCAAAATGAAGAATAACATAACCTTTTACAACCAGGACATAGAAAGAAAACAAATACGAGCTTCACTTCATCCATCTCATGCATTAGCCCGTCTCCAATGCAGAACACCAAAATGCTTGTAAAGATTGGACAGGATGGTCCGGACACTTTTAGACCTAACGCAAGTCATCAAATCTCCGTGAAATGGTTCGGGCGTCCAAAATCACACAAATCATCCTCTAACTGGGGAGCTTTGGGGTAGTCCGGAAATTTGCATGGCTCACTCTCAGTTGGACCACGTAACTCCACACCTAACATCTTCTACTTTTCAATGGAAATTTGATGATGTCTATTTGGTGATCCGCGTTGAAGATGTGCTACCACCTCTAGTCATTGCTGCGTGCATACATCAACATCACTTCAAGGAAAATACTTCACAAACTCACTTTTCTTTTCTATGTTTCAAATCCATCTCCTCACAAACATCACAATTCACAACAGTTGTTCAAGGAGTGGTGTAAGATTGGTGTAACTCATTGACCTAATTCAGTACTCCCTCCGTTCTAAATTACTCGTCGCAGAAATGGATGTATCTAGAACTAAAATACATCTAGATACATCCATACCCGCAACAAGTAATTCGGAGCGAAGGGAGTAGTCCACTATGCATGGTTGAACCTGGATTTGCCCTCGAAATTTTACTCACTCTAGATATTCTTCTTGTGTGCATCAAAATGCATGTGGTCTGGATATGCCTTTCCATCATTTCCTCCACAATTACATCTCTGCTGAAAATATCATCTTAACCCTAGCATGTAGCAAAAGATTGGCCTCGGAGTGGCAGAGCGATGGCGTTGCTGAGTTTTTTTTTAGCACAAGGAAGCATATATGACCCAGAAAATACACAAAGTTTCTCCACAAGGAATCTAGCCACCAGTGCACTTCTGGAGCCACAAAGCCTGGATGTGTGCAATGAAAATCGGTAGGGGATTGCATGCATACTGAACATCAGTAATGTCGGTTTCCTCTGAAGGGGGGAGGACCAGAGGAGGAACCACCAGCAGACGCAATTACAGGCGATTCCTCCCTGAACGGCTGCGTGGCCGGATCAGTCACACTTGGTAGCCTTTGTACGCTCCCCTTCCCTTTCCTCGCGTTGGGGCCGATTTCTTCAATCATGTACTTCCATCCGTCGATAGGCCGTCTTCGACTAAATATGTGAGTTTTGATGAAGCTAGCAATCTGCAACCACAGTTTCAGTGTCATTTTGGAATTTGGAGATTTTTAACAAAGAAATTATTGTGTCAACTATGACCTGCTGTTTGCTGAAAGCAATGCGCCTCTCAAATTCTTGGAGAAGAATGTCCTCCTCGCGCTGTGAGATCTCCCATATGTTACCGTCCTGACCCCTCGAGGTAGTCTCCCAACCATCCGGCTTGGTTTTGATCTCACCGGTGCTTGGAATCTTTGAATCGCCAAAATCAGCGTTGCCGGAATCAAAGATCCTGCATTTCATTTCACGAGCAGAGTACTGTAAGGAAACCATGTCTTCTGGAGCACCAAGTATATTAACAAAACCTAGACGTATGAGTGAAGGAAAACAATATGTCTGCCAATCACGGTATTCCTGTCGTAGGGAAATAACTTCTTTTTTTCATTTCAATTACGAAACGCTTCTGCAAGCACTTGGATTGCAGCCTACAGGTTACTATAGGCCATAAAAGCCTAATGGCCACGGTGGTCCGGTTATGAGGCAATACAACCAAAGCACAAAAGGCATTGGATAAATAAGATGTCAAGCGTGCATTTACTCAACTGTCATTTTAGTCTTAGATGGTGCCTACTTCTGTCAACTAAGTGATGAGCAGGAAAGGACAGAACAAAGATAACACACATCCATTATTCAGCAAGAGATAACAGTATTCAACTACAAGACTTGCTATTACTCAAACAAAAACTGTACAGTATTCAAGTATAATGAAGCAAAATAAATTTAATATTTACTAGATTCAGAATAAACCACCAGTGTAAATAATTTGTGAGATCGTACTGCTGGATTGGAAGCTTCAGCATAATGGCAGACTCCATTTTGCACCCCTCAACTATATCCCGAGTTCATATTTGATATTTCACCATCAACTCCAAAATTGTTCAGTTTAACACCCCCCCACCCCCCACCCACCCTGGTTCCTTTAAAAACCGTCCACTGTTCACTCATCGTGTCTTTTGCCTGACGTGGCACCCTCATATGTCACAGTTTCGCTTACATGAGATCCAGACAAGCCAAAATCGCTTAGTCATAAAAAAACATGTTGGCAAGAAAACATAAATAAGCAGCATGCCACAAGGACTGAGCGCCCATGGGTATTCATCCTCATGTTCTCCATGATGTTGGCTGGCAACAAAACACCGACTGTGACACTTGGGCAGGGTCGGTGCTACGTGGCAGCCCCACTGCCGTGCCAGCCAAACATCATTGTTGTTTTTATTTCACTATTGCTAACTAGGATGCCACGTCAAGTGGCATGCCAGGAAACCCAAAAAAATTGCCTACATGAATGCCACGACATCCAAAGTCATATTGAACCAGTTTTAAGCAGTGGCGGAGCTTCATGGGGGCCAACAGGGGCCATGGCCCCCCCAACTCACAAGAAACCATGCATATATTTCTTTGTATTAGGCCTATTTTCCACCAAAAATAAGCTGAAAATAGTTATGTTTGCCCCCCCTTCAGCCCATGCCCCCCCATGATCTTGGCTCAAGCTCCGCCACTGGTTTTAAGAGTTTGCGGAGTAAAGTGGGTGGTTTTGGAGTTCATGGTGATATTTGGACTCAAGACATAGTTGAGGGGTGTACTACGCACCTGTCAATTTTCATAGTAAAACATGCTAGTTTCTGTTCTTTGCAGAGAAGAAAAGAATGAATGCCTAGGATAGCAACTTTTATGGACTGAATTCATTCTTTTTCCACAGGGCACAACTGTTGTGCCTAGAATAGCAACCTTTTATGCACTGAACCCATCCCTTTTCCACAGGGCACAAGAATGCAAGTTTTTGCACTAACTTTGCAAGAGACTATGTGTGCTCTTTTTCAAGAATTTTGAAGGTGTAGAATGCTATATTTTTAAGACAGGAGCACATGCTCCCAAGCTCAACTTGGAGTTACCAGTGTAAAATGGTTATAATCCGTTCCAAATGCATTGCATCGTATCAGAATGCATAATCACACATCAGGCAGTGAACGAGCTCACAGCAAATTTCGTGTGAGCATCTCAAGTAGACACTTCATCCAAACTTAATTTGAGTGTTGGCCATTGAACAGTCATCACATGCATATTATACATAATTCAGCCTGATTTTTCAAAAAGTACAGGTTTCACCGGATAATCCACCAGCAATCAAGAAAGCGCAGTACAAATGGACCTTACTGGTTACACTTAGCTGTAGTCCTCACATTTCTCATCACACTAGTTAAGGCATTTTACATGATGCAATTGAAATTTGGCGCACTTTCATACCCTGTCTCAACCGTTTCCACAAACGGAAAAGAAAAAAAAAGACTATCTCAATGATCCATCTTCCTTGCAAAACGAAGGAGAAACAATGCAGTTTCAAAAAAAAATTGTCATAAACCCTCTGAAGAAGATTCACACCGCAACAATTCTACCACTTGCATTTGTAATTAAAAAGTCATGTGATACTAGGCGCCTATATTATGTCGCATGTAAATGGGGTTTTAGTGGGAAACTAGTTCAACAAGTGCGGTGTATCACAAGCAATCGAATATAACCAAGCAATTTGATGACACTAAGCAACCACAGCTACAAATCGCAGCTTTGTTGGAGAACAAAAAATGAAGGATAGAAGAGCAGCAACGCACTCTGAGCACGAGTCAAGAAGCCGGTCGATGTCGTCGGCCGCCCCGCGGCCACCGCCGCCGCCGCCGAGGCGCGCCTCCTCCATCTTGTCGATCTCCTTCACCCAAAGCGCAGCGTGCACGCGCTGCTTCCTCGTCCTGTACTCGTCCGCCCCTGCCTTCTTCGCCCCGGCGCCGCCCGCTCCCTCGGCGGCCGTGGGGCGAGAAGGAGCGCGCAGCCGCCTCGTCGCGGCGCGGCGCTCAGCCCAGCGCTCGTCCATGTCGGCGACGAAGGCCTTCGTGTCAGGGTCCACCTCGGCGGATACGGCCGGGACGGTGGCCGCGGCGGCTTCCGAGGTGGGGGACTCCCACGGCGCGGCGGGTGCCGGGGAGGAGGCGGGGGAGTCGCCCGGGAGCCATGCGGTCTCCCACGCGTCGTTCCACTCGTCGTCCCCGGTGGCCGCGGCCGGGTGCGCTGGAGCGCGGCGGTGGGATGAGAGGAGGCGGCGGGGGCCGCGGGAGGAGGACACGGGGAGGCGGAGGATGCGCCGGAGCGACAGTATGCCGTGTGCTCGGCGAAATGCCGACGAGAGGGTTCGATCTGCTTCCCTTTTCTTTTCCTTTTTGCGGGGGAGAGGTTATTTTTTTTTAGGGGTTACGAGGGAGAGGGTTATAGCTGGCCAAACGGCCCGTACTTCGCCGGCCGGCCCAGAACAACGCGTGCTCGGTCCGGCACGCGGCTAAACAGGCCATGCCAAGGCCTGCGGCATGCATGGGCTGCGAGGCAAGGCCCGCGTGCCGGCACGGCACGGCCCATTGTTTTCTTCTTCTGATTTTTCACGTTGAAGCAAGTTTTTCACCGAAAATACTCATGTGATCCAGAGCTCGAGTGATCTCGAATGAACAGCAAAATCCGAAAAAAATAGTAAACAGTTTAAAAAATCTGATTTTTTTTGGCAAGAAACATTGATGTTTTATCTACATGCATGCAAATCTTCATGATGAAATTACATTTGTAGAGGTGTGAAAAAAAATTGATGATCCAAAGTGCTTCCAAAAACACTTTTTGGAACATCATTTTTTCCCACACCTCCACACATGTAATTTCATCACGAAATTTTGCATGCATGTAGACAAAAACATCAATTTTTCTTGACTTTTTGGATTTTATTGTTCATTCGAGATCATCGAAGCTCGGGATCACATACTCCACGTCCACTTTTAACTAACTCCTCCCAAATTCTGACTAGAAGCATGTTTAGACTACAAAACACGAAGACTCCTCTCTCCAGCATGATTTTATACCTTTTATCTTTAATACTGATTTTGTTTGTACTCTTTTTTGGCCAATTCACATGGATGATGTTATATTGTTGTGAAGAGTAACCGGGTTTGTAGAGGTTCCTGACAAGGTCATGTTAAGTCAATATGGAGATCATCTGTGATAATTGTGAGATGTATAATTTTCTTCGGATATTTTACTATCAGACCAGAAGCAGATGCGCGCCTTGCCGCACCAATCTATCATCTTTAACGTTTCGTTGTGTTTGTCTGTTTTGGGGTTGTACTTTTGTAGTACTTCTTGGGCTTTTGTTTCTCTGCTTTAAGTGGTTTGGATGTAGTGTGAGGTTTATGTCGAGTATCGATGAGTGTGTCTCTG